GATAAATGTGTCGCCACGTGTCCTCCCTTCCGAAATTTGACATGCTATGTCGTCGGTAAAGAATAGAACAACACCTGATCTAGACAGGATTAGACCAGAACACCTAAAGAACCTACCGCCAGATCTCATCAGCACCTTGGCTCGGCTCTTCTCTCGTTACCTGTCAGATTTCAAGGATCCAAATCAATGGTAAACCAGCAAGACCGTGTTGTTGTTCAAAAAGAGGAACCTTCATAACGTAGGCAATTATCGCCCAATCTGCTTGTTTCCGATGTCTATAAACCCCTCACTCAAGTCATCCTAAACAGCATTGATAGAACGCTGGACGAAGACAGCCATGCGAACAAGCAGGGTTCCGAAAAGGATTAAGTACCATGGACCACATCCACGCAATCACAAGACTCATTAAAGTTTCACTAGAGTACAACGCTCTGTGTCACTTTCATCAATATGAATAGAGCCTTCCATTCAGTGGAAATAGAAACGGCTATAGAGGCTCTGGATAACCAGGGCGTCCCTACTCGTATGGTGCGTATAGATTCTCCGTGAGCTATATGAAGATTTCACGACCAAAATATCTCAATTCTACAACAATCTTACCATCGACGTAAGAAGAGGGGCTCAACGAGGCGATACAATCTCGCCAAAATTATTTACTGCCACTCTCGAGAATGTCATGCAAACATTAGAATGGGACGATATGGGAGCGAAAATCGGCGGTCGACAATTAAACCATGTTCGCTTCGCTGAAGATATCGTCTTATAACACCAAGCAGAACAAATGACGACCGATTTCGACAACGCCTGTGGGGAGATTGGTGTTCAACTAAATCTAACTAAAACGATGTTCATGAGGAACGAATGAGTTTCGAGTGCCTTACTCACGCTCAACGGAACGCTCCAGAGTTTGAGTAGGAGGAAACGAGCGACTTGGGGAACGTTTAAGAACATCGAAGATGTAGTGAAGAGGACAAATAGCATCCGACTCCGTGCCCTCCTTTTCAGTTCGACGATTTTCGCTGCCCTAACGTATGCAGCAGAAACCTGGTCGCTACGTAAGCAGGATGAAAAATCACTTGGCGTTATTGAACGCGCAGTCGGCAGGTCTATGCTAGAAGCATCTCGTATCTCGGGAATGAGAGAAAGGATCCGAAGTTCCGACCTACGTCAACGATCGAAAATCAGAGACGCCGTTCTACACGCTAGAATATCGAAAATAAGGTGTGCGGGACACGTGATGCGCTTCAACACAACCGACGGACGACAGCCGTTACCGACTGGATACCTCGGGACATTATGCGCGCTACAGGAAGACCACCGACCCGTTGGTCCGATTTCTTCACGGATGTTATAAAAGAATGATATGATGTTTAGCGAATCCCTAGAGCAAGGAAGACCACTGGGCTACTCTTGACGCGACAGGGAAAATAGAAGTGTTGCTGGCGCACGCTTTAGCACTCGTCGATCAGCGGGACGATCGGTGATACAAGTGACGAGACTGAATACGCTGATGATTGTATTTTCAACAGAAAAATAATCGATGGTTTCTGAGTGCACCGCCCAAACTCCTTTAACTCCGGATCGTCTATGTGACGCGCATCCCAACACGTGCACGTGATGAAATTAGTCGACGTGACCGCTCACTATCCAATGTGTTGAATGACTCTGCACCGCAAGCCGTTCACGAGCTTCTTATAGAACACCAGGGAGCGATAAATATGTGTGGCTTGTCGATTCAGCAGTTCATGAATCTTTTGAAAGAGTGTCTGAACTGCTCAATACTCGGAAGATCTGGAAAGTATATTTAGCACAAATGAGAGGGTTGACAATGGGACAGGTATTGGCTCCACTGTACATACTGCCTTTATGTCGGGAGTGGAGTCACCAGTAATTGATTTCCTGCTATCACTCCAGTATAGGTGTATAGATGATTGTGTTATTATCTGCTCCCTAAACGTGCAAATAAACCTATCCTATCACGGATACATTACGAGATGGTGCCGCAAGCCAAGGAACAGAAATACCGTGGTTCATTACCCCTTCTCTCACTGCTCCCATACAAAAAAGATACTCGTATAGACATGTTTCGAACAGCCATCGATGTGTGTCCAGGAAGAAAACAGAGAGTAGAATTTGCGAAACTGACTTGAGAAGAAGCCATCTCCATTGACCACAAATTTGTAACTCCTCGGATTAGGTTTAAAGGAACGACACGTCTCCAAACGATAACTCGAATGTGGTCAAAGTCCCGCTAATAATCTCTCTCATTTTGAATGAGATAAGTGCAGCTAAAAAGGTTGTTTGAGAAGATCAATGGAGAAATCGGTAACGATTATCGGAATGCCACCAAAAACACGGAGAATCCGGCCAGTTCGCAACCGCTTACACGACCGTCTTTGCACAACGAACAATGCGTAAGACGCCATAACAATGGAGACAGTGATTCCACGAGTGTAGGCACAGTTTACCTATTTACTAGTCATCTATTTTTTTGCAAATCGTTGGCAAAAGTGCATTAGTGAAGCGGGCAAACCACTCCAAGACCGCATAAAAGAACACCTAGGTGACAAGCGTCACACCAAATCATGCGCCCTGTTAGGCAATCATAAGACACAGAAGCATGACAGAGCAGATTTTGACAGAAGTCACCATCCTTGCTCACAGACATAAAACATCAGTGCCAAAGATTTCATAAGCGTTTCGGATTGATACCACCAATCCGACTGTGAATCGCAGAGAGGAATGCCTCGCAATTACTCGCGATATGAGTCAGTAAAGAGGACAATTGTTCTGATCGAGGACGTATATTATGAGTTCATTTGATATTTGCCAAGTAGTCGCCACTTGAACAACTCAGTGGCAGACTTGTAAAAGCGGCCAGTACATTGAAAGCTGATTTGGTGCCTGATGCGATTGGAATATTTGTCTGATGACTTTTCTAAACGAGTAATAGAGTGTTTGACTGACTGGATTGTGGACAACCTGATGTTTCACTCACTGAAGAAGGCGAAGCTGCTAAAACGTCAGCTGTTTGATAAACAGTGCTACAAAACCATGTGTCTAGCTCAAAAAGAAAGTAAAAAAATGACTTTTTATTACGTGAGTACTACGGAGACCGTTGTGAAGTTCAAAAAAAAAAACAACGGTAACTACGCACAATGCAAAACTTGATGTCCTCTTCGTAACAAGGAACGCCCTAAGAGAGCTGTCCGCAACCATGCTTAGCGATGGATTCTGTATTTTCCGAACATTAGAATGACTGTAAACTCATGAATGAAATTAGAAAAATGTAGTGTAGCAGGTCACAGCCACAGTAACAGCTGAAATATGCTTCATTTCGGAGTGGCTTTCTCGTTTAAATCTCGAAGTTTTCTGGAAACATCAGTGCTCTTTGTACCACATTTTTTCAATTGATGCTCAACGTGTTAATGAAGGATATATTTCACATCGGGTAGATTTACGACTAGTCATCCTAAAAGTGACTGTGTTTCAGAAATACACGCCTAAAATTCATCAAAACATGCGACTTTATACAATAAATATTCGATGAAGTAAGAAGGTTCCAGTGATCGGGCCAGTCATCCGATCAATTGGCACTTAAAAGATGAAGACATAGAGAAGGCGTATCACACTGCTGGTTCGGTAAAACTGTGAAAAAGTGAGTGGGCTTCCAGGTTTATCAGTGCAGACGAGACCGTGAGAAAATTCACAAAAAAATTACACATATGATGCTTTATAAATGAGAGATTCCACTGATACGATATTTAAACATTTTTCGCATTTCTCTTAGGCTTTCAGCAGTCATTCGACATCTTTGATCACAATGAGTTTACTTGTGTACTCGAATTTCGAAACAGCATTGTTAGTGCACTATGGCAGAGGAGAGGAAATTACGCCTGATCGGCATGCCTTATTTTCTGGCTTCTGTCTTCGCTAATCTTCTTACCAGAGTGTTAACACTAATTCGGTATCTTGAAAAACGATGACTTCGTGAGCGGGTTTGGTTTTCTGAAATAATTTTGAAGCCCTTTAAGATCGAAAATAATTTTACATGTCCACTTTAAGAATACGCACCAAAACCTTATAAGCGTTTAAAGGAAATCGTATTGTATCGGAATATAGAAAACCTAGGAATTTTTACCCAAACAGAGAAGAAGCTTTCTAAAGAAATGACGTAGAGCGCGCTCCTCTCTACTCGCGCGATGCCAATAATTTCAGCTACCGCCTCGAAAGGGGGATGATTTTCGCTGTATATTTTGAACATTTTTCGCCATTTTGTAGACATCTTCAAATTTTTCTTGCAAGAATCACAGAAATCTCTCTACTCTACCTTTCTGTGAGTATCAGCTTTCTATCTTTATTCTATAATGCCGTATAAACTCGCCGTAAAGTTTATGCGACGGCTATCTGCTTTGAGTGTGAAACGTGACAATCTTCTCGATCATACATCCTTTATTAGACTTATATCAAAACTAAACTTGGCTTCGGAATTATCGAGATTCAAGCTAATCATTACTGAAAGTCTGGAGTAGAGCCCTCCACAGAACCCAGCCGAAGAAATGAAGCACGCTGAAGGTAAAACGTCCTCAAAGGTTCAAAGAGTGGGGGTAGCAGGGATCTTCCTTCAATGAAAAGTTGAAAAATCAAAAGTTTACGGTATACAATCATAGCCATATAATCATGTTCGATGATTGACCAACCGTTTTCATATTTACTGATAAGCTTTTATAGATTATGCATAAGCGTGTGTGGTTGGATACTAAATAATTCACTCCTTACAGAGCATATCTTTACGTTCATAATCTATCTGTTTTGAATGTCCCCAGTGTTGAACTAAGGGGCATCCCGTTTCGGAAAGAAAACGTCTTTAGTAATAACGCATTAGAACTTTTGAAAATACTATATTATATGTGGGAATGGCAGGACATTATTATTTATCATTGCTTAACATTCAATAACACAGTCAAATTCAATAGTGTGATGTGCAGTACAAAATCTTTTGCATCAGCCGGGATTCGAACCCTGCCTCACTCTCTCCGGGAGCTTATGCTGACCGTTGCACTATTGACGCTCGTTTTGTACAGCACTCTTTTTTAAGCTATGATGCGTTGTCTGCCAACAGCCAACCGTCGACGGTTTGGCGGGGCAGCCGCTATCGGTATTGACCCCACTTGTGTTGACAGACATTGGATATCGATGATCAGTCAGAATTCTTTTTATTTGACTACCACTTGTACTGGTATGATGTTATGGTATACCCAATAATGTGGAGTGCTGTGCAAAAACATTTGCGTCAGCTGGGATTCGAATCCAAAAACGAGCGTCGGTGGTGCAACGGTTAGCATACGCCCCCGGAACGAGTGAGATGTGGGTTCGAATTCCGGCTGAAGCAAGTGTTATTGCACAGCACTCCACATTATTGGGTATACATAGCATCATACCACTGCAAGTGGCAGTCAAATAAAAAGAATTTTGAAAGTCAAATTATGTTTGAATGGTCTACTATCCCAACAACTTTGAAAGTTTTGTTCACACACTTGCTGATCTAGATTGAAATTCAGTTTCAAACTAAGAACAAATTAGAGACAAAACCGAGCTTCTGTGAATGTTTCTTTCACCTACGGCTTTTTTAGTTCACATTTTATTGAGCTCATTAATTCGAAATAGGGAATGCTTCTGAACTATCAAGGTATGTTATCTGTAATTCAGTGTATCAACACAATGAATTACCATACAAAACTCATAACCTATTGGAATTTTCTCTACGGTACCCACCATCTTTATGTGGAAGGGAAGAAAAGGTTTATTGAGTCCCACCATATTTTCATAGAACGTAAATTATGAGGTTTCAAGTCGGCTTCATCACTAGTCGAAGCTCAACAGATAATTAGTAACAGTCCGAAAATTGTATCGTCGTTATTCCTATTGATGTGTCGATGCGATACTTCACATAAAAATTTTCATGGCAGAGACGAAATGTAGAACTTGATACATATCGTAGCAGCACTTTTTATTTGATTTTTTGCTAATATATATCGAGGACAAATTCGAAGTTTTCTAATCAAACCCACCAGAATGCTGAGCTATGAAGAAATTCGGCAATTGAAGTGTAGTTGGACTTGTATTTACCTCACCAGAATCTCATCTGTTATCCGTCACACCATCTAGGCTCTGCTTTGCCTTTGTTTCGGCCAGGTTTTAACCGTATCGGTGCTGCCAATTATCATTCGCAGACGAAAATAATTTGCCATGAAAAATCATCAGAAAAACGTCAAGCATTATTTTAACTTGAGCCAGTTACAATTCTAGAGCTCTTCCTACAAATTCTAGCGTTCTGTGAAAAACCGTGTAGTGCTGTGAATCATGTCAATTGCAATCACGGAATAGACCGACAACTATGCCACTGTGCGCTTTGATAGACTAGTCTACTGTGAAACTGAATTACCAACAGTGAAATTATGAGGGAAATTCCTTTGCAGCTCCTTATTACGATGACTCGCAGCCTGTCAGGACTGGAACGCGGCAGCGGTGTTCCAGTGGAGAAAAATACTGCATTGCTAGAACGCTGACAGTTTATGATGTCTACTTGTCTGCTAACCTAAGGAAATCAATAGTAAGAATGGGCATTAGTATAGCGAAAGAAACATTTCTGCACATTTAATAATCTGCACCTAACAGGAGCGCGAAGTGCAGATCCATGTGATCTATCCTAACTTTGAGATCCAGAGATAGCACACTGTGGAAAAGCTCAGATACAAAAAAAGAATTACAGATGGCTAATAGATAAAAGGAACTGAAACAACTGTAGAGTGACTCTACGTAGAAGCAAACTTCTGAGACGACCACCTGCACTATGGGCGGGCTTCCTTATAACAACAACTAAATCAATTGTATTTCCGACGCAAATGTTTTATAAATGATGGTGTGACAATCGGACCATAATCGATGCGGCTCTCCACACGGACGACGATTAGCGAGCAGAGAAACGAATTAGCAATATGTTGATGTGCGTTCTACTCTCAATGATAGGCTTTATAGGAAGCCAAATAAGTGAAACACGATTTCGAGAGTAGTGTGTAAAATACCTGAGAAATTGCAGCACTGCAAGTCGAAAATTGTCTCTAGGGCTTAGCTTAGCGGAAACACATTGAGAAACGTTTATTTTGCAATTGAGTTACGAAGTATGAAGTTTTAATTCTATAGTATCAGAGTATGAAATTTCATTGCAGTCACACCCGTACATGCCCGCTCCATGATGTTATACATTACCATGGCGAAAGAGCGTTCATAAATGTTGAACTTCAGTTTTATTTAAAGGAGGTCAGGTTATAAATATTTAGGTATCTTACACGAAACCCTGGTATCAAGCTTCAAATTATCGCCCATTTGGTCCACTTAGAAACTCAGAAGGGTTATCGAATTATTTTTTCATGAACTGAAGAATCTATGCATGCTTAGCTTATTTCTCAGTCAAACAGGATTATTTTGATATGGAATAGCGACGCTCGCGTAGTGATGTAGCAAGCGAATCGTAAATAGGCGGGTTGCGCAGAAAAGTGATGCTATTAATAAGCCCTTTTAACTTGAGCCAATAGCTCCATTTTAGCTTCGTAATTTAAAACTCTCACTACTCGTATCCGATTTCATCATAGATCACTACATGAGCATAAAACATAGAGCTTTAGGCGTTCATCATCCTAAGGATGCTCCCTACTTCCAAACCCAGTAAGCACCATTAGAGGGGACTCTATGTACTTTGGTCGATACAATGGCTTGCGGTGGCTTAGTAATCCTACGAGGCTAGCATAGCTATCCTTCCACATAACTCTAGTATCATTTTCATGAATTAGAAGGGATGAAGGACTTGATGGACTACTAAAAGTCGGAGTCCGACGAACTGTTCACGCATTTTTCAGAGGACCACTTCCAACTATTTTTCTACACATTTACCGAGTTTTCAAAATAGTTGTAACAAACTAGAACCATAGAATCAAGAGACAGAGGACCGGTTAAATGACTTTTATCGTAATCACATCGTATACAAATTTCCCCTTTAGCTTACTATTTTGTCATAGGGACTTACTGTGTATGAGCGTTGAAGAACAATGCTCAATCAAAGGTCATAGTCATGTTTGACTAAATTGGTTCTCCACATAGTGCCGCCCTCTCACCTTTGAGTCATGTTTTTATTGGACTACTCAAGCGGTCACCTTAAAATAGTTGATTCATCTCAGACCAGTGACTAAAAGAAGCTGTGCATGCTTGTCTTATTTCTCAGTCAAGTAAAGTTGTTCTTTTCTATGCAATACAGAAACTTGCATAGTATTAGAACAAGTGCGACCAGAATAAACGGATCGGGCCTAAAAGTGATAGCAAATGGTAGTCATCCTTCTGAAAACCATTTCGTACTGATGTGGTGGGTTATTGCTAACTCGGATTAGGAGCCTTTCTTCTTTCTCAGCAATCGACATTATTTGCCCAATCCTCGGCTGTTTTTGTGCTTTCCTGCCAAAACCATTCCTATCACATCAACTTGGGCGTGAAGCAGACGAATGTGAAGGTTTCAAGAAACTTCGTGGTAGTAGATTACTACTCCACCATCCAGTGCTCGTATGCACTAGCACAGAATGTCTTTTGTTTCTCATACAATGAAAAAGATTGTCTCTGCGTTGAAAATGATAATTAATTGCCTCAAAATCAAAGCAAATTTTCAATTTACATTATTCTATTTCTGATCTTTTCATCGTTTCACATGATGTTGAGTAACGATGTTTTATGACAACCTTTATTTCGATTTTATTTCGAGTATTTTCCTGATATCATGCTCAAATTTCAATAAATCTCTTCATTATTATTTGAGCCACATGTCATGTGGTCGGGTGAGGGCTCTTGCACAGCCCGATACACGTGTTTCGACCTTATAGTCTCGCCAGTCGGGCAGAACTCGTCGTCTTTCAATCTTCACATGAGCTAATCCCCTCAGCAGCCTGCTTTCCCTTTAGAGAGGTGTCGAAGACGAACGAGTTACCCTGTAAGTTAAGTAGAAATATCACCGAACTTACAGTGCTTTAAACTTGATTGCTCCTTGGCTGGTATTTTTATCATTTCAAACCATAATTTCGGGTGTTTCCTGGAACCACGCTCACATTTCGTTTTTTTTCAAACTTCGGCTTCTGGGAGGATAACTCAAAAAAGATCGAAAGACGACGGGTTCTGCCCCAGTGACGAGATCGTAAGGTTCAAACACGTATATCGGGCTGTACAAAAGCGCTTAAAACCACATGACATGTTGCCTCAAATAATAATGAAGAGATGTTTTATAGGTAGATTATTGTTAGCACAATAGTAGCAGACATGCACGATCGATAGCGAAGCCATGAAGTGATTAGCATTTGTAAGACTTAAGACGGTGTTACGTTTTGTTCAACACCACTACATTCATGGATATAACTTTCTTACATTTCACCGTTTCTTGTTTTCGCAGAACAAAAACGGAAAAGGACATTATTTTCAAAGAAGCTTGGAGAAGTCCAAAAATTTTTTAAGAGAAGTCAACACATCTCATAATTATCATCTGAGTCAACATTTCATGTGGTCTCTTATAGTAATGAGAGCGCCCCCGAAAGGATTGGCAAACGACGAAGGATACCGCCCGATTGATGCGACTGACAAGGTCGAAACACGTGTTTCGGGCTCTATAAGTCCGCCCTATAACAGACCACATGACATGTCGGCTCAGATAATAATTACGAGATATGCTGAAATTTCCAAGGATCTCCCTCTTTGAGAAATCCCGCCCAGTTAGTCACGAGGGCACGTGGCGCGTTCCCAGGTGGTGGATAGGGGAATACAGGAGAACCAAAAACGACCGTATGCTTCCCAGAAAGATAGGTGGATTCAGAAGATGACTCTTCTGCTTCTGAAGCGACAAAACTCTATTTCTACGAGCAAGTCGGCCAAAAGCCTGCAATGAAGCGGCTGGGAAGTACATGGAAGGCGGTCATGAGTCGCCTCCAACAAATAAGCTTCTCCCGATTCTCCGAGAGAGAACTGGCAAGCTACTCGTGAGTA